TTGAGTCCCAGGAGAGTCCTAGATATTTTGAAGAGTTCAGGAGAAGGCTTTGAAGGGTGTGTGAACTCCTGGAAAATGATGGGTCGAATTGTGGGAATGCACAGATATACATTTTTCACAAAATAAGTCAGAACTTGCCTTAGATTTTCCAGAAGGGTCCCCAGCACGCTAAATGGTTAACAAAGAAAAGTTTACATCATTGTCTTTATTTTTGTAACTTCTATCTTCTCATACTTTCCAATGGCCATGGGCCCTTCCCTAACTTCAGCCTGGAAAACTGCTTTCTGTGTTTGCAACAGGCAAGCCTGTAGACCCTAATTCCAGCCAGTGGTCTGCTGAGGTTTTGTGTTTTGTTTTTTTTTTCCCCCTCAAGGAACCCACTCTTCATCCTCTTAGGACCCACTTCCCCATCGAACAGACCTTTTCTGAGAGCTCTTGGCAAGGCTGAAGAGCAAAACGCCTTTCTCAGACTGTCCTCAGCTTTGTGGCATTTCCAGATGGCACTGTTGAACACAGCAGTCCCAGCCAGTTCAGCTCTATCCTCTGGTAAGCAGAATACAGGCCAGGCAGATGCCTGATGCAAAAGGTATGGCCCTATGCAGAGCAGCAGCAGCAGCAGCAGCAGCACCCTGAAGCTTTTCCGTGCTCCATTTCCTTGACCACTTAGGACTAGCAGGTGAGAATATGCCTTAGCCTTGTGCCCAGCAGTAGCTCAAGGAGCTACAGTGAAGGATGTCTCCCTATAGACCACACTCTGGATTCCTCTAAGCTGCCGCTTTAGTTTGAGGATTCTCTGAGGCTGGAGAGATGCGAGTCTCTTCTCTCTTTCTCCTCTCTCTTCATCCCTCTATTTTTCCTTCTGTCACTCATGCTTTCTCGCTCCATCCATCCCTTTTGCACTCTGACATCCTGTCTGTAGAGCCCAGTCCCAGGCTCCTGGTTAAAGTGGCTGAAGCATCGAGCTAGGGAGGGCTTGGCCTCCTGGGCTCTGCGCCCGCCCCACCAGAGCAGCCTCAGTCACAATTTCTTGAATGTCAGAAGTCAGAGAGTCTGGGCTCCATCTAGACTGCTTTCTCCCGGTCCTCTCAGGATGCCTTCTTCCTCCAGTTGGGTTTATTGTGGGAGGAACCAGAACACAACCACCCGGATGTAAGAGTATTTCCCTGCCACAGGCAGAGGTCTGAGCCATGTACTTTCTGGGAACCAGAGCTTGCTAGGTGGGCAGAGTTGGGACATTCTGGAGACCCATAGCCCACAGGTCGGAGGCAAGGCAGCAACCTTGGGGCTTCATTGGATCCTGTCAGAAAGTGTTGAATTTCCTCAGCTTTGTATGAGGCCCAGACTTGGGGGCTAGTGCCCCAGGCTGGCTATTTCCAATTGGCTAATAGAAGGACCTGGTGTTGCGGAGCAAAAGAATTGGCTTCTGATCATTCTTACAACAGGACCACAATACTAGCTCAGCTTCCCAGGGAATGGATTTCCTCAGCAGGGCCTTGTTAATTTGCACACACCCTGAAAGCAAGGACTGCCCCAGCAGAGGATGGGGAAAGATGGGGAGAAGGGGTGGGGAAGCAAGGTAGGAGTGTATGACCCTGGATTTTTTCATAGCCTCTGGGACATTGAAATAGCCAGGCTAAAAGGAGGTGGGAGAACAGTGTGGCAGAGGTGCCTGCTGGGTGGCTTCCTTCAAGTTTTCCCGTCCTGGTCTCCCCACCTGGGAGGCCAAGTGCCCTGGGGCCAATATTTCATTTCCCTTAAAGGATTTGAGCTTCTTGGGGTCTCTTGAGGACACTGTGTGTGTTGAGGGGGTGGTTAGTACCTGAACCTGGCTCTGGGCTCCAGTTTAAGTTGAGGAAGGCTTTCACACAAGGTTGCCCAATTCTTCCCTCCCCTACCAGTGCTCCTCACCAAGACTCCTAAGCAGGAGGCAGAGCCAGAAGTGAGGCAGGTGAGTAAACTGGAGGAGAAAAATCTGATTGGACCCACAATGGAGTAAAAGGGTGTTGGGCTCCGAGGGGCCAGGGATAAGCCACTGTATTTTGGAGACTATTTTGTGTGTAATGTCGAAGTATGGCAATACTTTCCCTTTGGGTTAGGGAAACTCCGAGGGTCCTCCTAGCTTTACAACCATGTGTGCCACTTTGGGGAGCCAGATTTTAGAGATTCAGATCCAGAACTGAATGGGAAGAACGTGAGACCTGACAGGGCTCCCTTCAGGGAGAGTGAGGAAGAAGACTACTTCCGCAAGAGCAATGGAGAGCACCAATGCAGGCTAGGGTGCGCATCATAAACACCCCACTTGTTAACGGCGAGGGTCCCAAGGGCGCTTCCAACAGACCCTTGCACAGGGCTCACCACGGAGTACAGGCGGGGCGGGCCCAAGGACCAGGCCCCCACCAGCCTCTGTGGAGCAGCCCCCATAGCTCCGGGCCTTCAGGCCAAGGTGTCACGCGTGCGTCTCCCGGTCCATCAATACAGATTACATATTTATATCAATCGCGGGCTCTGAGGGCGCCCTCGGAGAGCGGCCCCGCGCCTACGAAACCAAACTGGGAGTGGTCGCGCGGAAACTCTGGCTCGGGATTGGCTGTGGGCGCCCGCCGCGGTGCGGGGGGATTGCTAATCGTATTCAGCATGTTTTGCACAAGAAATGTCAGCCAGAAAGGGCTATCTGCTCCCTTCGCCAAATTATCCCACAACAATGTCATGCTCGGAGAGCCCCGCCGCGAACTCTTTTCTGGTCGACTCGCTCATCAGCTCCGGCAGAGGCGAGGCGGGTGGCGGTGGCGGTGGCGCAGGGGGCGGCAGCAGCGGTTACTACGCTCACGGCGGGGTCTACCTGCCGCCCTCCACCGACCTGCCCTACGGGCTGCAGAGCTGCGGGCTCTTCCCCGCACTGGGCAGCAAGCGCAATGAGGCGGCGTCGCCGGGCGGCGGGGGCGGAAGCGGGGGCCTGGGGCCCGGGGCGCACGGCTACGCGCCCGCGCCCCTAGACCTGTGGCTGGACGCGCCCCGGTCCTGCCGGATGGAGCCGCCCGAGGGGCCGCCACAGCCTCAGCAGCCCCAGCAACAACCGCCACCCCCGCCGCAACCACCCCAGCCCCCGCCACAAGCCACCTCATGCTCTTTCGCGCAGAACATCAAAGAAGAGAGCTCCTACTGCCTCTACGACTCGGCGGACAAATGCCCCAAAGGCTCGGCCGCGGCCGCAGACCTGGGCCCCTTCCCGCGGGGGCCGCCGCCCGACGGCTGCGCCCTGGGCGCCTCCAGCGGGGTGCCAGTGCCGGGCTACTTCCGCCTCTCGCAGGCCTACGGCACGGCCAAGGGCTACGGCAGCGGCGGCGGCGGAGCGCAGCAGCTCGGCGCCAGCCCGTTCCCAGCGCAGCCCCCAGGGCGCGGCTTCGACCCGCCGCCTGCTCTAGCCTCCGGCTCGGCCGAGTCGGCTCGGAAGGAGCGAGCCCTCGATTCTCCGCCGCCCCCCACGCTTGTTTGTGGCGGCGGCTCGCAGGGCGAGGAGGAGGCGCACGCGTCATCCTCGGCGGCGGAGGAGCTCTCCCCGGCCCCTTCGGAGAACAGCAAAGCCTCGCCGGACAAGGACTCCCTGGGTAAGCACGATGCACCGAAGGGCTCAGTCAGGCGGGCACAGTGACAGAATCAAGCAAAGGAAGGAGTCCAGAACCAGGAGCCCGCGCAGCAGCCGGCCGGCCTTGGCCCAAGCTGCAGGCGGGCTGACCTTGTGAACTTGCTTTTTAATATTTGGGCGTGGGGACGCTGTAAAAATTCATGTCCGGCTTAGCGCCCCACACCAAGACGTCCTCAGGGCTGGCCCCAGCTCACCCTGCCTCGAGGAGACGACACCAGCGTGCAGCCCCCCTCTTGTGCCTGCTCTTCCTTGTGGCAAGGAGCACCACACGCTGTGGTCCGGGCCCAGCCTGCACGGCGCGGCCCACGCGGGGGGAGGGGTGGGAGGGAAAGAGGCTCGCCCGCAGATAGCGCGGATGTTTGTAAGGCATCCAAAATAAGCAGCCGCCAGCGCCAATAAATAAGCTCATTAACCGGCGAAGTTCGAGTTTACGATCCCCCATGCCTTTTTCAAAGTTGCTGGAAGGGCGGGAACCCTTGTTGCGAGGAGAAGAAAAGGCAAATCCTGCCCGGACGCCGGGGGCCCTGAGCTAAAAGCCAGAGAGGGGCCATTCTGTTTTCCCTGGAACTCGGAATCGCCCAGATGCACACTCCTGGCTCTTGGATGCGCCGGAGGTCCCCTGAATCCAGCCAGAATCCGTTTTTTCGTGCGTTCCCCGAGAACCCTTCACTCGTTCCTCATCAGGTCTGGGGCAATGAGGATGCTGGGTGAGACAGTTGAGTTTCTGGCCAAATAAGCACCCCTCGTGCCCCAGCCTATGGACTGCAGAAAGTGCCTGCCTGCCATAGGGCAAGATGCAGAGAAAGGCGTTGAGTTCAAGATGTACAGCCTGCCCTGCTAGGCCTTTTATTCTACAAGCGTCCCTGCAGCTTTGTACTAAAACAGGTGTTTGAGGGAGGGAAAAATGGAGAAAAATATAAATTGGGGAGGTGGGTGTAGATTGGAGGTTCACTCGATTTTGCAAATGTGCCTCAAGTTTTGGAAGAATGGCTTGTTCTCCGCACACCCTGTGTGTGACTTGGGCCATGCCTCTTAAGGGAAAGATTCCCAATTCACCCCGCGTGCAGCCCGTATGGCCTGGACTTAACCTTCCCCTCCATATTCTCTTAAACGCCAGGCAATTCCAAAGGCGAAAACGCAGCCAACTGGCTCACGGCAAAGAGCGGCCGGAAGAAGCGCTGCCCCTATACGAAGCATCAGACGCTGGAGCTGGAGAAGGAGTTTCTGTTCAACATGTACCTTACTCGAGAGCGGCGCCTAGAGATCAGTCGCAGCGTCCACCTCACGGACAGACAAGTGAAAATCTGGTTTCAGAACCGCAGGATGAAACTGAAGAAAATGAACCGAGAAAACCGGATCCGAGAGCTCACAGCCAACTTTAATTTTTCCTGATGAAGCTCCAGGCGATGCCGTTTTTTCCGCCTTCAGAGAGCCGGTCCCCTCCCTCTGTCTTCAGCCTCTGTCCCGAACTCGCACCTGTGCCGGACCCCTATTCCTCCCTCCCACACTCGCCTCTCCGGGGCAGTTACATCTGTGCAGGGCTGGTTTGTTCTGACTTTTTGTTTCTTTGTTTGCTTGGTGCTGGTTTACTTGTTTTCTGGGGGAAAAAGCCATATCGCGCTAAAATTCTATAGAGGTAGATATTGTACTGTCAGGTCCTGAATGGACTGGGTTTGCTGTTTCTGGGTCCCATTGCTTGAAATGTCCCCTGTGTTCCTCTACAGAGCTGGTTTCCTGCCCGACCCGGCTCTGGGCAGACCTATTGGGAAGGCCGAGATCCCATTGTCGGTGCAGAGGTGTCTGGCCTGAGGTCAATGGTGCAAGAAGCCGCCACCAGGCATGCCTGCCTGGAGTGCTGGGCTGTGTTTAATCAGGGGATACAGGCCTCTGGGTTTCTTTTTTTTCTTTCTTCCTTTCTTCCTTGGCGTAGAGAAGGGCATGCAGGCATGGATATGCAGGTTGGCACTAGGGCTTGACTTCGGCTGATTGAAAAAGCAAGACAGTCAGAAAGATTAATTTTTCCTTCCTTTGTAAGATATCCCAGCTTTATAAGAAAAAAAAAAAAAAGGAATGACCAAGAGAAGGAAACTTCTTTTCCAGTTTGTGTAAGGTCTTGCATTGCCTGACTGAAACGTTTCATTTACCTCTGAATTTCCATATCCTTCTGGCTGTTGATAAATAATGTAGTTTTGTTTATACATGTGGAATTAGTGGAATTTTTGTCATTAAAATCGTTACCACTGGTAACATTAGAAAAGCACACCACAATTCTCCCTATCTTGTGGAGGTTTTAAAATTCACTTTTGGGGGAGGGGGCTTTCTGAAATTCACGGAAGCCTATGGCTGGGGCAAATGTAATAAACTAGAGAAGGGAGACATTGTTTGGATTTCCTTTATACTGTGAAGAAACATGCATAAAAGGGTCAAACCTGTAGGTGCAGAAAAAGAAAAAAACTATAAATACAAATCTGTATAAATGTCTATTATTATGAAAAATTGCCAATCTTGTTTTAAGCAAATGCATTCTATCGTTATTATAAATGTTAGTGCTAGCTCTATTTACTTCTAATCTTAAATCAGAATAAATTAATATTGTATTGCTGCTGTGCGTGGAAAAAGACGATGTTTATGTTCTTATAGAATAAAAGCTGTGGAATGAAGCTTTTTAATTTTACCTCTTTCTTGACTGCTTATCTTCCCTTCCACTTTGTCCCGTCCACCACTTTTACAACAGGAGTACTAGCCTGAGCCCCCTGCAATTACTTTAGGCATCTATTTAAATATTACCTAGACGGTCGTAATTTGTCTGGGCCCTATAGCCCTGGTGCCCTAAGGTTTGTCGGCTTTTGTTCAGTTTTATGACTTGCTAGTATATCTGGATTGTGGCTGTCTTGGACTAGTGGTTTCAGTTGAGAGGGGAGCTGCACAGATAGAGGAAGTTAAACAGGATTTCTTTCTGGAGCCTCTGAGAGGCTCTCAAAGGCTAGTTATTTTGTGGGTGCCTAGGTCCCAGATGACCCTCAGCCCAAATCCCAGGAGCAGGCCAGACCCACAGCGCATCACTAGTGCCTTCCAAAGCAGTTAGGTGGATCGAGCTGGGGTGCCCCACCGGCCGGGGTCGCCTCCTCCCCCAGCGCGGCCTCCCCCACCTGGCGGCCCTCGGCGGGGCCACGCGTTTCCTGCTCAGAGGAGGTGGGGGGCGCGCCGCTCGGGGGAGGGGGCGCGGGAGCGCGCGCCTCCGCGGGCGGGCGGCGGGGAGAGAGGGCGGGGGAGCGGGCAGCCACGGGGACCTAGCGCTGGAGGCCGCGGGCAGACAGAAAGCCGGGCTCGGCGACGTCCCTGGCGTTCCGAGTCGCCCTAGGCTCTCGCCGCTCTGCGCGGGTTCTGTAGATCGCCAAGGGGTCTGGGGAACCCGGACGCTGCTCTCCGCCGAGCTCTTCTCACCCACACCCGCTTCCTTTTTCCTCTCTTTTGCTTTCCCTTCCTGTGCCCTGCTCTCTCCCGCTTTCCTAGGCTTACCTTCCCTGGACCCAGGGCCTCTCCCTTCCCGACGGGCTTGTGGCGTCCCAAGCCCATGGGGGCAGCGGCGGGCGCAGGTTGCCAGGGGCCAGGCCAGGCACGATCGCGGGGTTCTCTCCTTGGCGGCGACCGTGGCGGCAGCAGTAGCAGCGGCGGCGGCGGCGGCGGCGGCGGGCGAGGCAGCCCTGCGCGGGCAGCACCAGAACTGGTCGGTGATTTAGGTAGTTTCCTGTTGTTGGGATCCACCTTTCTCTCGACAGCACGACACTGCCTTCATTACTTCAGTTGAAATCGTCTCCAGGTACCTGCGCGCGCGGGGGCCGGCCGGGCGGGGCATCAAGGCCCCGGCCATGCCAGGCCTGCGGTGGCAACCTCGGCTCTCCCTACGCAGGGACCTCGTGTCTTCCTCAGCACTGTGCCAGCCCGCCGGCCTCCCCTCCCCCCCGCACCGGCCGGGGAGCAGGTACAGTCAGGTTGACTGCTGCTCCGCGGACGCCGGGGGCGTGGTAAGAATTCTGGGCCTCGGGCCATTCAAGGTCAGGGGCGCTAGCTCCCACCTGGAGCTTCCCTACCGTAGCCCTGCGCCTGGCCCTCGTCCCCGCCTTTCCCCTGCCAGACTGGAGCTTACTCACTGCAATTCAGGGTGTGATTTCAGGAAAGAATCCTTCGCTTGCAGAGATCCAGGCCTAGACTAGAGGGACAGGGCAGACAGGGACCGGGATCCTGGCCTTGTCATCCTTCTCACTGCAAGCACGCCCTCTGCTCTCAGGAGTCCCTTCAGTCTCTTTTCTTCTTTCTTTCTTTCTTTCTTTCTTTCTTTCTTTCTTTCTTTCTTTCTTTCTCTTTCCTTCCCCCTTCTTTCTTTGCCTCCTTTATATGTCTTTCATCTTGTCTCTGTCCCAATTCTCTTTCTAGATCGCCTTCTTCCCTCTCCAAATCATCCTATCGGAAGGGGAAGGGACACAGGAAAGGTCTGATGGTCTCACTTTCCTCTTCGTACTTAAATAAAAGTCTGAGTCTGCAGAGGAAGGGTCTGCGTGGGGCCGCTATCCAGGACCGCGGAGTTTGGCCTGTGTGCCTGTTGGCAGACAAGGCCTCGGTTATGATCACGACCGGATGGCGGCGGCCTTGCGTTCCTCCTCCGCAGGTCGCTTATGGCTGCCTGGGAGACCAGATTAGGGAGCACCCGCGGAGTCTTTGTGTGCCCACACGGAGGGCAGGGAGACCTTCGTCTGTAAACCGGAAGCAAGCCCTGAGGCCCAGCCGGGCTCGGTGGAAAGCGTGGCTACTCAGGGAGCTCTACCCGCCTGGAAGCTCCTTGCATGCTCTGCCAGGCCTACCAGACCTAACTTGGGTTTTGATCGCAATGAAGGAGCCTTGCTGAGGCAAAGTCGACTGCGTGCTTGGCAGTGGCGTCAGGTTCCAGTGTTTTGGATATGGCCATGTACAGCTGTGTGCTGCAGAAAGGGGCCCTTCCAAGAGCTAGCATTTCAAATAGCTGAAGGAAACCCTAAATTCCAGTCACTGGGATGCAAACTTGAGTCCTTGTTCTAAATTGCAATCTACTGACCTAAGCCAGCCTGACCATTCTCAAACAGGAAAACTGGAAACAAGCTGTCCCTTCCCCCAACATTCACATAGGCTTGCCTTCAGACCCTTGGCCGAAGAGCCATGCTTCTCTTCCCAATAGGCTGGGGGCTGGGAATTGTTTTCCTTGCTCAGCCGCCAACCTGTTATCTGTAAGTCCGGCACACCCGGTTCCCTGATTCCTCTATGCCATTTTCCGGACCAGAGTATTGAGTTTATTTTAGAGATCAAAGTTTTGGGAAAACTCTCAGTGGGGAAGCCGTAGTGTGCGATTACGTCCATTTATTATTTCTTTATGCATGTGCAATCCCTTTCACTTTCAAAATAAAAAGCAGGCACAAAAGTCTGCATATTCTGGCTCCAAGTCTCCTGGTTCCAGAGGGACAATATTTGGATTGGTGAATTTTTCCTGCTTCTAGATACCAGTAACAGCGGCTTAACACTCATTTCCTGTTAATTATTTAATACTATCCCTATTTTATTTGGGGGTTTGGGACAATCTTTGGTGTAGAAAATACTCAAAATAAGCTGTGTCTTCTCTGGGTACAAAAGTTGATCAGGCAGCCAGGCATGCTCGGCCTGCCCTTTACAATTACAACTGAGCAAAGTTTGGGTTTTTTTTTTCTTCCAGGGTTTATTTTTTAATGAAAATCTCAAAATCCCTGCAAACTGCCAGACACTTTGGTCCTTGGGGGTGAGGATGACTCGGAGGAGGAATTTACCGGGAAAGAAAAATATTTGGGAAAGGGGAGCTGAAGCAGCCACGACAAGCCACGTCGGAGTTCATTGTGTCAGCCACTTTACTCTCCCGGCCAGGCGCGGTGCACCGGCAGGGGCAGGATACCCAGACGGTATCCGGGTAGTTTTGTAGTCTCTCGGGCTAGAGGCGAACATTTGGGGGTCCCCACCGCTGTCCGGAATAGGACTGTGTCAGGGTGTTTGAAAGGAGGAGTTATTTGGACTATTGGTGAGAATGAAGGCAAAAGGAAGGAGAGATGAAAATGACTGAGGTGCTTGCTGGCCTTGCAGCCAGGAAAATGGACTAATGAGAAACACACTCTTGCAGGCACGGTATTCACACGTGAATTTAATTACCCCTCTTCTAGGACCCTTGTTTTTCTGTTCAGAATAGGGGTGGTGTTCCCCCCCCCCTTCCAATTAACAAAAATGGCTGCAGCCTTCATTTGGTCTCACTCCCAAAGACTACGGGGTGAGACATAACGTTTCCAATTTGCTCAGGCCAAAGCATGGGATTAAAGTCAATGCCTTCTGCCCCTCCCGTTTTAATTTTTAGCCCTGGACTTGAGCTGCAGCCGCTTCGCTTTGGGCCTTGTAAAACTCCGTCGAGTTGCTCGGTTTCCTGGATAACCAAGGCACGTCCCCGCGCCGGCGGTAACGGTGATTGGTGATCGAGGAGTCCCTGAAGGGCTCACCCTGGGCCCTGGCCTGGCAGCTCCGGTGCGGGCTTCCCGCCGCTTGAACCGCATGCTCCCTTAAGCGGGAGCCGCCTTTTAGCAATCAGAATTGGCCTTCCACTATGCTGCCTGGCTTTTACTTTTTCCCAGTCTGGGTTGCAACAGCGTGAGGAGGCTTGCAGACTTCAGCATTAGGGCCTTCGAGGATGCATCACAGGGTTAGGTCGCTAAGCCACCTCTGCCTAGGGACCGTGAGTTCCAGCTGAGTAAGAGCAAGACTCGCCAGGCAAGGGTGTGAGTCGGACCGAGAGCGGCACAGCCAGGTCCTCAAATCCCTCCCGTTGAGAGGAACTGGCTGCACCCTCCCTTCCAGGTCAGCTGCGTTGCCCTCGCTGGAGAAACAAGGACGACCTTCAAGATTCTCTGGGCACCAGCTCACTCGCATCTCAGGCTCTGGGACCCACACAAGGCAGGACCCCCTCAGGGTCCAGTCCACCGCCGCTGTGGCAGGGACAGTGCTACTCTGGGACGGATACTGAGTTGAATTTGACTTTTCGCGGCCGGAGGGGGGTAGGCGTACATCTCCCGAGGACCACAGGGATTATTTACAGGGAGTTCGCCGACCAAACACAACAGTCTAATTTAACCTTTCCAAGTCCTCGTAAATTTTTACAGCTGGGAGCCACGGCGAAGGCAAACGAATCTGTTGGTCGTTCCCGACTTCACACCAGCCCGTGTGGCTTCTGAAACAATAACTCCTTATGAAATATCATAAATATAGATTTAAATACAGTAGAGCGAGAATGCGATTTGGCTGCTTTTTTATGGCTTCAATTATTGTCTAATTTTATGTGAGGGGCTCTGCTGGCCGCACTTACACGCGGGACCAGCGCCTTCCTGATGGCGTGATTAATTGTGATATAAAATAGTCCGCTTAAGAAGTGTGTCTGGCGGGGGGGGCGGGTAGCGTCCACAGGCAAAGCCAAATTTGATCTTTTAATCTTCGTTGGCCACAATTAAAACAAACCCGATCGTGGAACGCCGCGATCCCTTTGCATAAAAACATATGGCTTTTGCTATAAAAATTATGACTGCAAAACACCGGGCCATTAATAGCGTGCGGAGTGATTTACGCGTTATTGTTCTGCCGGGCGGGCACGTGACGCGCACGGCCAATGGGGGCGCGGGCGCCGGCAACTTATTAGGTGACTGTACTCCCCCCCCCTGGTGCCACCAAGTTGTTACATGAAATCTGCAGTTTCATAATTTCCGCGGGTCGGGCCGGGCCGGCCAGGCGCGGGGCACGGCAATGGCCACCACCGGGACCTTGGGCAACTACTATGTGGACTCGTTCCTGCTGGGCGCGGACGCCGCCGACGAGCTGGGAGCCGGCCGCTATCCTCCCGGGGCCCTGGGCCAGCCACCTCGGCAGGCAGCTGCGCTGGCCGAGCACCCCGACTTCAGCCCGTGCAGCTTCCAGTCCAAGGCGGCGGTGTTCGGCGCCTCCTGGAACCCGGTGCACGCGGCGGGCGCCAACGCCGTGCCCGCAGCCGTGTACCACCACCATCACCACCACCCCTACGTGCACCCCCAGGCGCCCGTGGCGGCGGCCGCGCCGGACGGCAGGTACATGCGCTCCTGGCTGGAGCCCGCGCCCGGGGCGCTCTCCTTCGCGGGCTTGCCCTCCAGCCGGCCTTATGGCATTAAACCTGAACCGCTGTCGGCCAGAAGGGGTGACTGTCCCACGCTTGACACTCACACTTTGTCCCTGACTGACTATGCTTGTGGTTCTCCTCCAGTTGATAGAGAAAAACAACCCAACGAAGGCGCCTTTTCCGAAAGCAATGCTGAGAATGAGAGCGGAGGAGACAAGCCCCCCATCGATCCCAGTAAGTGTCTTCTCCCTCCAAACCAGCCGCCGCCTCCACGCCGGCCGCCCGGATCTGCCGGCCCACCAGCGTCCTCTGGAGCCTGCCTTCGTCTTCGCTGGGAGCTTCCCGACTGGGGCCGGGAGCCAGTAGTTGGTGTTTGGGACACTTCAGACAGGGCCCCAAATCCGAAGAACTGTGACGAACGGGCCCGCAGGAGCCGGGGAAGGGGAGGAGGCCTCTGCAGCGAGAGGGGGCGGGGCGGGCGCCACCGCCGAGCTGAGACGGCCGCCCCTCTCCGTGGCTACTCGGCTCGGGACCGAGACGCTTTGGGCCGTTCTTCGAAAGCAGCACAACGAAGCCTTTTGTGCGGCTAGATCGTTTGCGAGCCGCGGCTGCAACATCGCCGGCCAGCCGGGGCAACTGACCCGGGACACTGGGGGAGACGCCGATTCCCTCGACTTCTTGACTTCAGCGGGTGGCGTAAATTCTGCCCAATCGAGGCAGAGGCAGCGGGCAAGCGGCAACGGGGGTCCCCTTGCCAGATTATTCCAATACGCTGGAGACCTGATCAAAGGACTCAGGGCACCCTGCCGGCCGCTTAGCTCTCGAGGCCTTCCAGGAAGGTCAAATTAGAAGTGGCGAGGGTAGAGGGCAAGCTGGAGAAGGGGAGACACAGAGTCAGAGAAAAGCAGTATTCATCTTGCTCCATGAATACGGGGCAGCGGGCTTTCCCTCTGCGCACCACAAAGGAGATCTGTTTACAAATTTCACCCTCCCCTCAATGTGCAGAGAGGGAAGAAGGACGGGACGGAAAGACAGAGGAGGAGAAAAAGGGCAGCGGAGGGAGGAGGAGGGCCGAGGTTTTACTGCGTGCAATTGTCAGTGACCGTCTGTGAGTCTGTCTGCCAGGGTTCCATTGTGTCCGAGGCTGGGCAGCATTCCCCAGCCAGTTGAATGGCAACCTGCACTTTGGTCGAAGGCCCCCGGAGGCTCCCTCGGACTCAGCTAGGTGCGTCTGTTCCCTCTAAACCAGTGTGTCTCTCCCTGCAGATAACCCGGCGGCCAACTGGCTCCATGCGCGCTCCACGCGGAAGAAGCGCTGCCCGTACACCAAGCACCAGACGCTGGAACTGGAGAAAGAGTTTCTGTTCAACATGTACCTCACCAGGGACCGCAGGTACGAGGTGGCGCGCCTGCTCAACCTCACCGAGAGGCAGGTCAAGATCTGGTTCCAGAACCGCAGGATGAAAATGAAGAAAATCAACAAGGACAGAGCAAAAGATGAGTGATGCCATTCGGGTGCATTTATTAAAAAAAAAAAAAAGCAAGCTAGGGAGAAAGAGAAAGGACTGCCTGTCTCCTTCTTTCTCTCACCATACTCCACCTCCACCACCCCACACAAAGCAGCTCTAAACCCCAGGCCTCATCTCCCCCCTGGCAAACCCTGCTCAGGCTGGCTCCTAGGTCTGGCGCTTTGATGGAGGAGGTATTGTAAGCTTTCCATTTTCTATAATTGGGGGGGGGGACATTAGCGCTGATGGCTGCGTGTGCTAGCTTGTATATATTTTTAAAGAATCTACCTGTTCCTGACTTAAAAGAAAAAAAAAAACTACCTTTTTATAATGCACAACTGTTGATGGCGGGCTGTATAGTTTTTAGTCTGTGTAGTTAATTTAATTTGCTCTTCGTGTGGCAGGGCGATCTGCTGAGATACTTGAACACTGTGTTTTATTGTGGTAATTATGTTTTGTGACTCAAACTTCTGTGCTGGGTGACGCACCCCTTGTGATTGTGAAAGCTAGAATTCAATTTTAACTCAGGTTGTTTATGAGGGGAAAACAGTTGCATAGAGTATAGCTCTGTAGTGGGATGTCTCCTGTATAACTAGGCTGTTAACCTATAATTGTAAACTAGCTGTAAGGATTTCCCAGTGAAATAAATTTTTAAAAAGGGAGAAGAGTTCTGGATGCATAGGTTCATGGTTTCTCCACTTTTGAAATGCAGGCATCTTAGTTTTTATGTGTTCTATAGTGCGCTATAGGCCTTTCTTGCCCACTGTATATACAATCTATATATTGAAGAAAAAAGTTCATAATCAGAGAAGCTTGAATATTGTTTTTGCACCACAGAAACAGCAAGGAAATTTGGAGCTATACATATGTGCAGAAAGTTACTACCTATGGTTTATGCTTAATTTTAATTGGAAAAAATGAATGCTTATTGTAATGGAGTCAGTTTTATTGTTAATAAATTATACACCATGAAACCGCCATTGGGCTACTGTAGATTTGTATTCTTGAATCTCGGGTTTCCATCTGGCTGAACATACACTGTATATTTTGCAATAGTTACCTCAAGGCCTACTGACCAAATTGTTGTGTTGAGATATTTAACTTTTTGCCAAATAAAATATATTGATTCTTTTCTATTTTTGTGAGTCTCCTTTTTGCACCTTCTCCAAGGCAGGGGAACCTGGGTAGAGTCTCTGGATGCGGGGAGGACCAAGTTGGGGTGGGGACAATTTTACCACCGGCAGACTTTGGGAAACCGGCCCTTGCCACAACCAGTCCAGGCTTGCATAAGTGATCCCAGTGCGGCCAGGGACTGGGAGGCTCGAATGGAGCAGGAAGCCGAGGGAAGCGGCTTCGGGGACAGGCTCCGGCCTTCTGTCCATTCGGCAGTCGGTGGAGAAGCCCCGGAGGAGCTGGGCCCGGAGGAGCTGGACTAGGTTCCTATTTGCCTAGCCAGGAGCAATGGAAAGGTCATTCTTTCATCGCGATGCCTCCAAGAAATCCCCAAAGTCCCAGCCCACAGACACCGAAGATCCTCTCCCATAAAAGTGGGGTTGTGTGGGCACAGAACCTGGAGCTAAGGGCCTGCTTCCTGAAGAGGCTCTGAGAAGAAAAGGGAGCCCCACTAGCCCAACTCAGCCGCCAGTGCAGACCTTTGGGGCTTGCAGGGAGCCAAAGGCCTACGCTCCTGCACCCAGCCTCCTGCCAGCCCCACGGGGTGATTCTGCATCCTGCACCCTGCATCTTGCACCACAACCCCTCCCAAACACAAGTCCTGGCAGAGGCCGGGCTGTGGCAACCGAGGAGCCCCGATGCACCATAAAAGAAAATGAGGGCTGTTACTGTTTATGGGGTGTAAAGGGCTGCGAGGGAACGCAACTTCGGAGGCCAGAGCGCCTTCCAGATGTGGCCGGGGAATTCGGCCCCACGCCCCCTTTCTTCTCTCGCCCTGCCCCCCACCCAGCCTCTGGGCTCCTTCAAAGCTGTTCTAACGCGTGAAGAGGGAATCAGGACGCGAGTGGATGGCACGGCTCCTTGCCCCACCCCCACCGCGCCGCCAGGCTGGGACGCCCTCTGTTGTTGCAGACAGAGGAACTTCAAAGAATGGGTAGTGAGGGTGTGCCATAAAGGCCGGGTCTGCGAACTGTCTGGAATTCGGCCCTTAATGAGTTTACAACTGTCCAGCCCCAATTAGGATATTCCACCAAAGCCCTTTCATTTGTTTGCTCTGTCTGCTGACGATAAAGCGGCTGCGGAAACAGCCCTCTTTTATGGGCATTGTCCCCTCGCAACGTAGATTCCGGGCCCCACGTCCCCCCCCCCCGGGGGGGCCCTCACCCGGCCTTTGGGACTGGGACGCTTCGCGCACTGCTGAGCTGCGACTGGCGAAGTTCAGGCGTCCCGGGGCTGCGGGGGCTGCAACGCGAGCGTGTGACCAGCAGATGGCAGTGTGGCTCCACCAAAGAGGCGCTCGCGCCGCCATCTCCCGCCGCCGCGACCCCGGGACGTTCCTAAGATGTCGACTTGACGCGAGCCTTATCTGGAATGGGAGCCCCACATCCGAGTGAACAGCAGTCGTATATTTACCCCGCTGTTCATGCCAGACCAGAATCCTCCCTGGGATACAGGCATGCGGCGGGGGCTGGCCTGGCTCTCGCCGCTCGCGCCTTGCAGGCCGCGTTCCGAGAGCGCGGAGCTGCCGGGCTGCGGCCGCTGGAGACCGCGGGGCTGGCTGCTCCCAGCGCGAGGGCGGCTCGGGGTCGCCTCCGGCCCGCGCGGGCCTGAGACTGCGGACGCGCGGACCAAACCTGCGTCCTCTCCGGCGGGCGTGCAGCAGGCTCGTGCTGCGGCCCCACAGGGCTCCGAGACTTGCACCTGGGTTCAGGGCCCGGGACAAGACCCGGCGAAGCAGCCCCGGAGAGAGCCAGGACCCCGGGATTCGACTGATTTGAAGATGTGACAATAAAACTGGACGGGTGAACACTCGGCACCAATCCACCTTGTCCATTATAGGCCTGCCGGGAGTGGGCTGGCGTGGGGAGTCTCCGGGACAGAGCCAGAAATGTTTGGTTATTCTAAAATAAATATGATGTTTGCACTAAAAATGCTGACAGCACCCTGACTGCATCCTGGGCGCCCCCTTCGTGGAGGTCGCCCTACCTGCTCTGGTTTAGAGGTGCAGAGACCGCTCCTGCGTATGCCTCGGAGGAGGCGGGGACGGCAAGGACCGCATCCGCGCTGCGCCTGGCCGCGCCACGCTCGTGCCTCTGCAAAGGTGGCTGAGAGCCCGGGTGCAAGGATAGGCCACGGGGGTAGGATGGCTTCGAAGGGAAACACAAAAACAAACAAGAGCCCTCCCAGGCACCTCGGAGCCCTGTGACATGCCACGCGGTGCGTTTATTTGGGTCGTAATAGTCTCTGCCAAGCCCGCAAAATGTTTACGACCTGCATCTCAGTCTCTGCACTGTAAAACTGGGGGCTGGATTTTGGCTGACATCTCTCCTCGGTTCCTTCTCTCTCTCCCTCCCTCCCTCCCTCGTCTTTCTGCTTTTTTCTGTCACTACACACACGTTGGCATTACAGACACATCATTGTATTTCTGGATATAATTCATACTATTTCGCAGCATCTGAGTGTAAGAAGGGTTTTTACTGCTTTCCCGAAAGTCACCATGGCTTTGTACCCAAAGTCAGAAAACTGTTTATATAATAACAAAGGGCGAGATCAAATCAGTGGGCGCAGATAAAGAAGCTCGATTTTTGTAATTACAAATAAAGCCTCAGGTTGGTGGTGACCACTTCTCTCCACGGAGCACAGAAGCCAAAGACACGTACAGTGCACCCGGAGCCTCAGAGGCCTCGTGGACTCCCGGCAGGCAGGGCCTCCCTTGCCCTTGGCCGGCTGGCGGCTGGCGGCCAGGAGGCTGCTCACCCTCTGCTCTGCCAGCGAGCAGCTTCCCTCAGCGGCAGTGTTGGCCCTTCATCCAGGCTGACTGGTGGCGGCCGCAGCTCGGTCCCACGCGTCGGGATGGGTTGGTCCACGACAAGCCACGCACAGCTCCCTTGGTGGAGAGCAGATCGCAGCCCGCGCGCAAGGAGTGGGTGGAAACATTTGGAGAAGCAAATCAAAGGCCGCCCAGCAGGCGCCATGTGTTGCCAAAGAGCTGAGTTTACAGTCTTAACTGGATTAAAATATTGCAGACTGTTTGGTAATAATCAGAGAAAACATTCTAGCACAGAGAGGCTAACTCCAGGAGAGCAGTGGGAAATGCTTAAGACAGGCTGATTAGAAGCTGGCCTACCTATGCCTGCTCCAGTTTGCACATCAACGAATATTTCCTTGTATATTATCTCACATACCTCAGTGCCTTTTGGTCTTTTCAGTCAGATAAGGAACCAATAGCTAGGGAATATATGATTAAATAGGCTTTATCGAGAGCCTGGTATTTGTTGGGCCTTTTTATTTTAAAATCCAAGCACAGGAGGCAGGGAGAAAGAATCTTAGAAACGAAAGGGAGGTTTTGGTGCCCATGGGACTCAGCCCAGTTGGCTGACTTCGGCCCGAATTCTGCACCACAGCTTTGCCGGGCAGCGTCTGGATCCTCCCTGGCTGGGGCATTGGGGCAGAGGATTCTGGCGAGAGCGCTTGGATGCCTGCCCCGCCAAACCCAGAGAATAGGTGATCTTGCTGCATGCCCAGCCTTCCCTTGGCAGTGAAGCGAGTACCTGCCTGCACCCCCTGAAATTGCTCCCCACAAGGGGTGTCTGGCTGTCTTTCTTAGGACAGGTTCTACTTTAAAGGCCATCGCTCTGGGCCACTGCAGCCGCCTGAGTCTAGACAGCCGGCGGCGGCTTGGCTCAGGTCTTTCTCTTTGCGTCTTGCTCTGTGTCACCAGAGGAACAATTTATTGGTCTAAGCCATCTAATTCCACCTCTTTGATCTGGGCTTCTTCTTGCTTCCTGCATCTTTTAAAACTTTCTTACGTTTTTATTTCCCTGCCAGAAGGAGATGTTATTTGGATTTTTTCTGCTCCAGGTTTACGCCCTCCATTCCCGGTCTGAGATTTGGTATCAGCCTGATCCACCATAAATGACATTCAGGATATTGTCCCCTCCATTGCCCCCATCCCCACAGATGCCTGCATCCCTGAGGTAGGCAGCCCAGCGCCCACCTGCTCCCACCTCCCAACCAGAGGCTCAGCCCTTCCCTAGGTCTGAGCTGGGGCTGCTGGCCAATCCCACTGAAACCATCCTTCCTCTTTTGTGCTCCAGGACCCCCTGAGAAGGTGTGGGGAGCAGGATAGCCTGGACATTCTGAAAGTGAAGAGGAGTGCTTTGTACACAAGGAACCAAAGTCTATAATTTAGAGGAGAATTTCCGGGGCAATTCCATTGTGAGGTTGGGTTTATGGTGTGCAATCGAGCTGGGCAGTAAAAGGTGGCCAGGCTTCCAGTGCGGCCTGGGCAGTTTATGAGGCATTTAGGGGAAGGGTTCGCCCTATCATCATCCTTCACAGAAGGTGGGTAGCAGGGGCTTCAGTGGGTCGAACGCTGCGGCAGGGGTCGGAGGCCTGGGAAGGTAGGCACTGTGTGCTGGGGTGGGGGTTGGATGGAAGCGAGTAAGAGGACTGTGCATTCAGCTGTGTGCTGATGCTTGCTAAGATATAACAGCCAGAGCTTGGGGAGGGCTCCCTTGTTTTTGGTGTCTCCAAAAGAAATGCAGATCTGCGAGGGACTACAGCCCCCAGGTCTCCAGGTCCCTTCTTTCTGCTCCAGTTCAGCTCTAAAGCTTCAATTGCTCCCAGACACTGACACAAGGTGAAAGTCCAGCGATGGCTTGGGGGAAAGCTGCTAGAAACCTCGCCGGTGTTTGGGGTGGACAGAAAGGTAGAGCCTGAGGTTCCTCCACGCTGAGGGTGTGGCGGGACCGCGGGACCGTGAGCCCAGGGAACCAGAGGACGTGGGGAGGACAGAACCATTTACAGAGCTATCAGAGGCGAGCCAGGTGCCCAAAAGTGAATGCACAGAGCCTCCAGGACTGCGGTATCCGGTAGGAGGCACAGGGAACCCCATGTTAATAAATCTGTTGACAAATGAGGTTCATTAACAGATAAATATTTCACTGCTTCCTTTAGGGTGGATAAACAGTGCGCTGCCTTTTACAGAAAGGAAGCTGGGAGACACTGACTTTATTCGAACCACATGACTCCAGTTTGCTGTGACGCTCCGGCTGCTTGCTGTTGGAAGCGACGCCGCGCCTGCCGCGTCTGGCTCAGCATCTAAGCCTGGCCTTTGGCCCACTGGACCCGGCAGAGGCGTGGGCCAAGGGCTGATCTGCCCACAACCCAGCCCTGCCAAGAAGGCTATCCGGAAGGCGGGTGCGTGGGGAGCAGAGACCCGCCGGGGCCCCGTCAGCAGACGGGACACGGACGGGGGATCCACACGCCTAATCGGAGCTCACTAACAGGGATAAGGGCTACAGGGCCGCACCTGCGGAAGCCCGCCGGTCCCGCCTCCGGCTCCTACTCTGCGGGCCGCCGGCACAGCGGGTTCAGCGGCCGCTCCCGGAGCCGCCGCTGCCCGGGTCTAGGCGGCCGCGGCCCCGCCGGGCGAGACCACCTGTGAGGGCGGCCGAGATTGGCGGAGGCGGTCATGTGGGCGGTCACGTGCCGCGGCGAGCTCCGTCCAAAAGAAAATGGGGTTTGGTGTAAATCTGGGGGTGTAATGTTATCATATATCACGCTACCTCGTAAAACCGACACTGAAAGCTGCCGGACAACAAATCACAGGTCAAAATTATGAGTTCTTCGTATTATGTGAACGCGCTTTTTAGCAAATATACGGCGGGGGCTTCTCTGTTCCAAAATGCCGAGCCGACTTCTTGCTCCTTTGCGCCCAACTCGCAGAGAAGCGGCTACGGGGCGGGCGCCGGCGCCTTCGCCTCGACCGTGCCGGGCTTGTACAATGTCAACAGCCCCCTCTACCAGAGCCCCTTCGCGTCGGGCTACGGCCTGGGCGCCGACGCCTACGGCAACCTGCCCTGCGCCTCCTACGACCAAAACATCCCCGGGCTCTGCAGTGACCTCGCCAAAGGCGCCTGCGACAAGGCGGACGAGGGCGCGCTGCACGGCCCGGCCGACGCCAATTTCCGCATCTACCCCTGGATGCGGTCTTCAGGTAGGCGCAGCCGGGCGGCGGGCGGAGGGCGGCGGGCGGGCGGCGGGCGCGAGGCGCAGGGCCCGGAGGGCTGAGCCAGGCGGCGGCCAGCCGCGGCCCCCTTGACTCCTGGCGGCGCTGCCTTTCTGGTTTTAATTAGAGCCGAGGCGCCATTGCGTGGAGAGCCCGTAGCATTGTATGTAAATGAGGCTCATAAAACTTTTTATGGCCCAATTAATGGTTTCAATCCTCGTAAATTTATTTAACTCCTTTTGCCTTGGAATTTTAACATTCAGTCTGTTCCCTATTCTCTCTCCTCTCTCGCTCCCTCTCTCTATCCTTCCCTCCCTTTCTTCTCTTCCCTCCCTCCTTCTTTTCCTTTCAGCCTCAATTTTCTTTCTCAGAAGCCGAGACAGCCAAACCCTCTGGGCCCCTCACCCACCCCTGTGCCAGGGGCTATTGGAAGACGGGAGGGAAGGGGACAGAGGGTGGAAGTGCCCTGAAGAGTCCTGGGATGGGGTCGAGGGCGGACCGGGAGGGTTGCCCACTCGTCTGGGAAGGCTGGGCTCGCCTTTGAATGCAAAAGTGCAGCGACTCCCACTTGCCCACACTCTATATGTACAATTTCCCTTTGTCGGGGGAAGCAGGACATTGTGGAAGCGTAGCCGGCTGGAAAGGTCGGTTGGTTGTAAAGTTGGAATTCTACTCCTTCTCTTCTTACAGAGCAGCCTGCCGTCTGGCTCCGCGGTTGGATCTTCTGCGCAAGCTGCCCCCTTCTACCTCCAGCTCTGCTCTACATTTGGGGGCAAAGGGGAGCCCCTGGCTAGCTCTGGGCAGGGAAGAAAGTGCCCCCTCTGGACAGCAACCTAGCTAACACACTGTTCTTTGCGTGTCCGTGTCTGCCTGTCTATCCGTGTGTCCATGTGTCCGCATTTCTATTCTCAGGACCAGACAGGAAGCGAGGCCGCCAGACCTACACGCGCTACCAGACCCTGGAGCTGGAGAAGGAGTTCCATTTCAATCGCTACCTGACTCGGCGCCGCCGCATCGAGATCGCCCATGCGCTCTGCCTCACCGAGCGCCAGATTAAGATCTGGTTCCAGAACCGCCGCATGAAGTGGAAGAAAGAGCATAAGGAAGAGGGTTCCACCCCTACTGCAGCCCCTGAGGGCGCGGTGCCGTCTGCTGCCGCCGCTACTTCCGCCAAGGCCGACGAGGAAGAGGAGGAAGAGGAAGAAGAGGAGGAAGAGGAGGAGGAAGAGGAGGAATGAGGGGCCCAGCTAGGGCCCTGGCTGCATCGGACAGTCGGAAAAGCGTCTTTAAGAGACTCAATGGTTTTATTTACAAAAATGAGGGGAAATAAAAGAAAATTTTAAAAGAAAAAGAGAAACACCCCAACTCCCAACAGCACCCACCCCATCACCCGATGTAGCTCCCAAATTTCCGGACTGAGAGGCTATGAAGACTAGGTCACCTTGGGATCCCCTTTCCTTCAGAATTCCAATAGATACCCCTACCCCCAGGCCAGAGTTCTACATAGGCATGGCCAAAATACTACCTAGCACAGGCCTCCTTGAGAGGCACCCCCAAACTACCTATGGGCCCAGCTGCAGTGGGCCCCCAGTTCCAGGAAGCCTCCTAGTGTCCTAACACTGGCAGACATCCAGCACCACACCACACCCATAGGAACGCAGTTCTTTCAGTACTACCTATTAGCCCCAAACTACCTATTTGTGCTGGCTGGCTTGCCTGCTACTTGGTGTCACAGCCCCCCACCCCAGGCAGGCCCCTGTTGCTTCCTGGCACTGCCTCTGGGGTCCCCCAAGGCATCACTGAGAAGGCACTGGGGTCCAGGGATCAGGGCATTGGCTTCTATTTAAATTGAAAAATAATATATTTATTCCAAAGCATACTAAGTGCTGCAACCTAGAATCCTTTCTCTGGCTTGGCGTCCCCAAGTTCAGGCCCATCACCCCCTATTTCTGGAGGGGGTTATTCCTGAGCGGGCTTCAAACCTCTGGGTTAGCTTCTGTTTTGTAGGACTGTGGAGATACTCCCAGCATCACCGTCTTCTCCGCTGGCTCCTGTGTCCTCTTGTTCAGCCATGTCCAATACATACACCCTGACTTTTCCTAAGATGGCAAATACTGTATATTTGAATGAGATTTTTGGGTCATTTCTATAGTATTGGAGCTCATTTGTAAAGAAATGTCTTGACTTGGGAAGGATATGTTAATGGGGTGACTTTATAGCATGGTGTGTTGTCATGACCTAACTCTGTAGTGGTTGGGCAGGTCCGATGCCCTCCCCAGTGCCCTTCATCTCCCGTGTTGTCCTGTGTCCTCCTATGCTCCAGCCTGGTGTTCCGGAAGGAACTGTTCCCAGTCTAGCTAACCATGTTTTATGTAATAAAAAATAAAGATGCTTAGTCACAAAGAAACATGGAGTGTTTTATCTAGAGGGTTTGGGGAAAGGGGAGGGGGCCAGAGCTGAAGGGCAAGTCCTGGTTGTGTCTTTGTGCCCAAAGGGGCACTTGGAAAGCAAAAGTGGAAGACTGTTCTTGGTTGCAAGGATTGCATTGTTCACACACTAGTGTGTAGGCATATCATATCTCATTTTATATTTGTACATGTGGACTTGTTCGGGTATATATGTGCTATTTTTGTTATCTGTGGATACTTGGGTATGTATTTTTGCTTTAGTTTTATAATTGTGTATACTTCTGTGTCCATAAATGTGTATACTTATTTCCATGACCATAATTGGGTGCATGTTTTCCTGGGTCCACAATTACATGTTTTCTGTGTCTATAATTGAATGTCCCTATTTCCTCGTATCTATAATTTTGTCTTCTTATGGAGAATTTGTCTGATTTCTCTGTGTGCGCACAAAGATCTAGATCCCTTGAAAATGGAATCATTGGCAGACATACTTTATAGACCTCCTAAAAATCCCCATAAATTCCAGGAGTGAATTCCAAATCCACCCTTCGCCCTAAGGCTGCCGAGTGGACTCCAAAAAGAGTATTACCTGCCCTGCAATAGATCCGCATGCACCCTGAATTCAATCTTAGGCTGGAAAATGGGACTGCGGACCTCTGCCGCAGCACCCGCACTCTGCCTTCAGGTTGGGCGAGGGCTCCCCAGGGCCTGCACTGCAGCAAAGGGGTTCGACGAAGGTCAAGAGCTGCTGACCCCGGCTGGGCAGCCTCACCAGGGGCATCTGGATGCGGGAGGAACAGGAGGCTGGGGAAGGGGTGAGGGTGGGGCCCTGGGGTCAGTGCAAAGCATCCTGAGAGCTGCCAGCTAAGACCTCCTCTCTGGTCTCCTGCCTGGGTTGGGACAGCTTCTTAGGGCTCTTTTTATAAAATCTGACCCAAAAAGGTCCGTAAAACCTGCGGCCCAAGTCCTGGCGGCCTCGGTGGTAAGATGGCGCCGGTGTAAGAGCTGCCTCCTCTTAGTGATGGGGAAAGGGTCATAAATCCGTTGTTGTTTATGAAAATTTACAACTTTGCAATGCAACTTTATGAGTTGTTCGGCCCTTCCATTGGCCGCTGTCGGTCATGTGGATGAGAACCGTGAACATGAACTTTTTTATAATTTCCCTTGCGAGAATAGAGCCGCATTCTTTTGCTCCGCTCCATCCTGCCTGCTTCGGAGCTCTGTCTTTGCAGCCCGGCTGGGCTGCGCTTTGTCCGCCGATGTCCAGCGAGGGGAAGCCCTGGCCAGGCCCGGCCCGGCCGTTCCCGTGGGAGGTGGGGCGCGCCAGGTTCCAGGCGCAGCCGTGGCCGTTTTGCAACTCGCAACCTGGCTAATTTCCTGCGTCCTCTGGCACCAGGAAGGAGGACAATTCGTCTCCGGGCTGCCGGAGCGACAGCTGTCAGAGGATCAGGAGCTTCTGGGAGCCGCCATCTGAAGGTGAGACAAGTGGGAGAGACAGGAGCAGAGGTGGTGAGGAGCTACACGCGGTGGGAGAAGGCAACTAGGTCGGCTTTGCAAAGGGACTACCACACCCCCCACGTTGGACCCGGCACACCCCACAGAGCGCGCGCGCGCGCACACACACACACACACACACCACCGTCCCTCCCTTCGCTCCCTGGATCACCAGGGCAGTAGGTGCCCGCCTCCCCTCGAGGCATGGCGCCTTGGCACTGGCAGCAGCACTTGGGCTTGTCTCCCTCCCTTCCCCAGCCTCGCCGGGAAGCATAAAAGGAAGTGATCCCGCACTTTGCATTTCCTGCCAGCCTCAGGGTTTGGCTTTTGGGAATTTGTTTTTGGTTTTTGTGTTGATTTGTGTTTTCATTCGTGGCCCAATTGGTTCGACTGAATTCCCCAACAACAGGAGACAGCTCCGGACCTGGGGAGGTGAGAGGAGGTGCGGGCAAAAGTGAGTTAACCCACAGGCGTATTATTAGCGTCGACACAGCATCTTCTCGTCCCTGAGAGCTGGGTTGGGGGGGGGGGAACAAACAAACAAAAAACTTACTAATTCAGCCAGGGTTCTCTGCTGATTGCCTGCTTCTCTTCGCCCGGTTGGTTTTCGGATGAAAGAGGTGTCTGAAGCGCTGGGAGAAGGGGATAGGTGCATGGGTGGAATTCTGTGTTGGAGGAGAGGACGGGGTTAATTGTCTGGACGGTACTTGGTGGGATGTTGTGGAGCGGAGAACATTGTGGTATGAGTGCAGGTGGCAGGGGCCGGGACTAAGGTTAAAAGGTTGAAAGAAGAACGTGAGTGGAGTCTGGGCAATAGGGGACCCCTCCAACCCATCTCTCTCGGAGAGCCGGCGATCATGCGTCCCACCTCCCGGGAGTGGGGGAGGATTGTGGAGCGAGCCGGAGCAGGCATAGGGGCGCGCTGGCCATGGTTTTGCATGGCGCGGTGGCTAGAAGCTGGCTGGGCCCGAGTATGCCACGGGCCAGATTTGCCCCGGGAGCTCCGGGCGACAAGAATCGATCTCCAGGTTCTGGCTCGAGTTCTATCGTGTTTGGTTTTGGTTTGTTGTTCTTGTTGTTTTCCCGTCTTAAGATCGTATCTTGGTATGCGTTAGCTAACCAAGACGGGGTGTAAATGTTTGGGGCGTTCGCTGGCGCTTCGGGTGCGCTTGGGCAGATAAAGCGGCGCGTTTGCCTTGTAGGGCCGTTGGCTGCCCGACTGCGGCTGCCGCGGGCACATTATTTATTGTGACCGAGATGGCGCTCGCTGCTGCCACGCTGTGGCCACCGCCGGGACCGGCGCCAACCGCAGCCCGCGTCTTCCAGCCTGGCGCGACTGCTGTGCCGACCCATCAGAGATTCCCCTGAAGGCAGGGGAAGGGGGGACGAAAGAGGACCTGAAGGGCAGTCTTCCAGAGTCTATTGGGCTGGGAAATCTACCGGCCTCTGCCATCCCAGACTGAAACCAGACGCCGGAATAGACCAGGGCCCTCCCCTCTCCCCCACCCCAGCACCACGGAGACTGGTAGCACAGGACGCCTGGCACGTCATGGCTGCTTCTGTCCAAACTGCGCGTCCAGGGGAGTCCTGGGGTCGCATGCCTGCTGGGGGAACGCGCTGGTTTTGGAACTCTGAAATCGGAGAGACCGTTTGTAGTCCTGAGGCCAGCTGGCCTGGCTGTGGTAAGGAAGGTGGATTTGGGCTCCAGGCAAAAATCTGTGACAGGCAGAGGCCGCACCTGTGTGCTGTTGGTTCTGGCCCGAGCTAGCGATATGGAAGGTAGAATGTGGGACTTCAGGGTCCCCACACAACCCTGAAGGCCTTCCTCCAGCCTGGCAGAAGTGTAGGAGCTCAATGGGCCGCCCAGGGCAGGAGCCGAAGGTGTGACCCTGCTCGACAACTTGCCCCAATGAAAGAAGCTCAAAGGTAAGTTGGCTTTCTGTCTGCCTGTGACAGAGAAGAGCTAGCCTTGGGGTGGCCATTCCCACCATCCAAGACCAGCTCTAAGGAGGGTGTGGAGCTCCTGTTATTGTCTGAATGGGTTCTTCCTTGTAAATCTCTTGCTCACCCCCAAATATATATATGGAAAGAGAAATTGATAAATTGGTTGTCTCCCAACATACTATGTACTCGCCTTGACTACCATGTAAATATTTCAATTTACTATTATTTGTCCACTTTCGTGCTTACAAAAGCAAGAAATATAATGTTTTCTGGCTCTGAGCTGAACAATCAAATTCTTTCAAGTGCTGGGACACTTACTAGATGGAGAATCCAGGTCAAAGCATAACAATAATAGTAGTAAACTGCCAGTAGCTGCAACACTGTAGGAGAATATGAAGGAATAACAGAGAAATTATAAATGTAAACATTTATCAACATTTGCAAATGGTTATTTTCACTTTAAGTAATTTGCTTGAAATTACTGTTATTTGATGATTTTTAAGAAATAATAACTCAAACATGATTTTCTTGAAACAGAGCTTTTAAAGAAAAAAAAATTCCCTTTTTATTTTTCGACTCCTGAGTGTTTTGTTTCACATATTGGATCCTTTCCTGAAGAAATCTGTGAGGAATATGAAAATTTGTCCTCTTCTGAATGGTCTTTTCTATGCAAAGGAAAAACTTTCCCTGTCTGGACTGATTACAGCACAGGGACAAGGCTTCCCCAAGCCTTCGAGAAAGTGCCGGCATAGGCTCTGTGCTGGCTGTAGCAGCCCTGATAGTAACCCAACCTTTTTCCATTGGGGGGTGGGGGGAAGGCAGGTCAGGGAAAAATGGAAAAGCCAGAAAGAGATTAAGGAAGTCCTTAGCAGATCCCTCAGGGAGCATTGCCAACTGCCACCCTCCAAGGCCTGAACCCCAACGGCCTATGTTGGCCAGGGTTTTACAGATTTTAAAAGTAGCTTCTTGAAATCCAACCACATAATGTCATTTCTTCAACCTCTACAAGGGTTGAGGATTTTAAAGCTAATTCAAGGAATTTTACAAGCCCCACTACCAGTCATAAAAATGCCAGTGGACAGATACCACATTTTACAAAACGAGATTGATCCTTGTGTTGTAAAAGTGAACTGTCTTGAAGGCACACCTCTCAAGCAAGAGAAAGCAGCTGAGGACAGGCTTTTCGGGTCCTATCTGGGACCTGCCAGGCCTGGGCCCACAGTAAAAGCAATTCAGGATTTCTAGAGCCTGTGAGAAAATCATTCAGGTTCTGGAGCTTCTGCCACTGGCAGTCTTCAGTGTAGACTTAGGAAAAGCAAGAAACAGACAAGTCCCAAGACAGTGCCAGCAGACAGGCACCCCAGAAACCAAGCCCATTAGTTATCGTACATCCTTGGGCCCTGTCCAGCTGTTCTCCGTGCCCTGCTCCACCCCAGGCCCTGCATCTTCGGTGCATTTTCAGTGCCCCTGGGGTGTCTCAGCTTCTGAGCAGATACGTGGCTTTGGGGAGTCCCAGGGTGCTGGGCTAGAGGCAGCAGTCTGAGCCCAGTCACAAAGCCGCTCCTCTGTAGGTCCTTTCTTGTGGAAGCCTGTGCTTCTGGCTTCTCTGTTCCCTGGGTTCAACAACTGGGTGTGTAGCTGGAGAAGATGCTTTCGGAGAGGCCAGGTAGGCATGAACCACTGCAGGCTGTACCCAAAGGAGATGCTGTGCTATGTGGAAGGCAGGGGCAGCAGGAGGGGCCTGTTTGGCCTTGTTCTGGTCAGCATGGGGTGAGCCTTCATATTCTGCTTCGAGGCCCAGACCTCTGGTAGAAGTGGGAAGGATAGAATAAGGGGGTGCACCATCCCCAAGCTTGCCAATGAAGAGCAGAGAGTGAAGGCCTGGCTTCTCAGAAACCCTACTCCAGCCCAAGACCCCACACCCTCCATTAGGGGTGCACAGGGGAGGGGCAACTCAGGGCCAGGCCTGAAGAGTAGGCCAGCAGGGAGCAAAGCCATGATGGTGTGGTGGCCACTCTTCTTTGCGGCAGGGTCGTCCGCTTTCCTCTTTGGAGGAGAAAAATGCCAGCAAAATTCGACAAGGAAAAAAAAAAAAAAAAAAAGGCAGGAGGCCGGAAAGAGCGAGCCTGACAGGGTCTTTCAGGCTGCCTGGGCTCCGGTGCTCCTGCCCGGGTGTAATCTGTACTCCCTGCCCGGGCCACGCTGGCCGCTGGCTTGGGGGAAAGAGCCAGGCGGGCGGGCTGTGCGCGCACATTAATCTGCCGGGCGGCGGCGGCGGGCGGGCTGGGGGCTGTTTGTAACTTTGCTGCCTCGGTCGCCGCGGTCCCCGGGGAGCGGGCTCCGGCGCTCGCTCCCATTGGCCGCCGCCGCGTCAGCTGGTGCGATTTGCTGCTGTCGCTTTTGGCGTTCGGCCATCCAGAAACAAACCAGTTCGATGACTACTAATAGTTATAGCCAGATGTACTAATACACAACAAATCACAGTCCTGCAGAGGGGCGCGCAAATGAGTTCCTATTTTGTGAATCCCACTTTCCCCGGGAGCCTGCCCAGCGGCCAGGACTCCTTCTTGGGCCAGCTGCCCCTCTACCCCGCTGGCTACGACGCGCTGAGGCCCTTCCCGGCCTCGTATGGGGCGTCGAGCCTCCCGGACAAGACGTACACCTCACCTTGTTTCTACCAACAGTCCAACTCGGTCCTGGCCTGCAACCGGGCATCCTACGAGTACGGGGCCTCGTGTTTCTATTCTGATAAGGACCTCAGTGGCGCCTCGCCTTCGGGCAGTAGCAAGCAGAGGGGCCCCGGGGACTACCTGCACTTTTCTCCCGAGCAGCAGTACAAACCTGATAACAGCACCTTACAGGGCAAAGCCCTCCATGATGAAGGCACCGACCGGAAGTACACGAGCCCAGTTTACCCCTGGATGCAGCGGATGAACTCCTGCGCCGGTAAGGCATTTCCCTGCACCCCCACCCAAGACAGTGGAAGGAGAGGGGGAAGGAGGCAGGGAAAGAAGGAAGGAAGGAAATAGAGCAAGTGTAAGAAGGAGTAGAATGAATGAGAAGAGGAAAGAATGAACAAAGTTTCTTTAGCTTTTGAAAGTAGATTTTAAAAGAAAAAATCATTCCCAATGGGGCCATCAGGCCAAAGTTGAGGAAAGGGAGGGTAATAGGGTCCATGTAAGGTGACACTTTAGGGAGGGTGGGGGGATCACTGCCAAAATGGGAGAACCCTGACAGGGCCACCTGAAGAGAGAGGCAAGCAGGTTGGGAGGGAGAACCTCCAAGGCTGCACTCTGTAACACTCTGCTTAGGTTCCCAGGTAGAGAGGGCCTTCTGTGCCTTCCAACCACTCTCTTTTCTGCCCTTCAGAATCCTAGATGGCGAGAGAGAGGGCTCCATTTGGCTTCTTCCAGTGTTTCTCCCCAAAGCCTTGGAGGGCCACATCCCTAGCTTCTGGACTTTTTCTTTCTGTCCTCCTTTCCCTCCTCCCCCTACCACTTAACTGTTCTCTCTTAGTCAACTTCTGCCTCCTTCTGAGCCCCTGCTTGAGCCTCACACTTGGCTTGAGGAGATTCTTCCACCCTTGGGCACCTTTGGCACCAGAATAGACAGCCCACAACAGTCCTACATTGCAAGAAATCCCAGACCGCTTGTAGGTCTATCTCTTTGCTCTGGTTTCCAAAGACCCCACAGGGTATCCTCCCTTTCCCTTGGCGCAGGAAAACTTAATTTGTATTTTAAAACTTAGTGTTTTGCTTTAAAATCCACCCCTATGGACCTCTGTGTTTTTCAAGTGGGTCATATAATTTGGGAAAATGTGCAAATATTTGAGTTAACCATATTCAACTTTTCCCCAAATGTGTTATGTCCTGAAATAGGTGGCCTCAGTAGCATCCCTAGAGAGACCAGTGTGTGAATTCAGTGTCTACACTGCTAGTAGGGATCCACTCCCATCTGCCCCAGATGCAAACACACACCATTCCATAAAAATATGACTCTGTTGTCCCAAATTACACATGCCCTTTCTATTATTTCATTTGCTGTGGTTGTCTTACAAGGCAGACATTTCAAAAACAGTATGTTTTCACCCCAAGTCGTTTAAAAGTGGAAAATATCTCGCTTGTTATGAAACAACCTTCACCATTCGGCGTGTTTTCCGCCCCAAACGTGGTGGGAGAGGTAGGAGTAGAGGCAGAGTGGTTTCCAGCCCAGAGGCCCCTGGAGGGAGGCAAGGGACTCACTGGCGCGGCCCCACGGACCCTGCTCACTGGCACCCGGCCCTTTCTGCCTGCAGGTGCTGTGTATGGGAGCCACGGGCGCCGAGGCCGCCAGACCTACACGCGCTACCAGACCCTGGAACTGGAGAAGGAGTTCCACTTCAACCGCTACCTGACGCGGCGCCGCCGTATCGAGATCGCCAACGCGCTCTGCCTCACCGAGCGCCAGATCAAGATCTGGTTCCAGAACCGCCGCATGAAGTGGAAAAAGGAAAATAAACTCATCAATTCCACGCAGCCCAGCGGGGAGGACTCTGAGGCAAAGGCGGGCGAGTAGATGTCTGGGCAGGGACCAGGCCAGTGCTGCAACCTCCTTTGGCTTTGCCCCCTTGTCCTTGCCTGCTACCCAACTTTTCTGTCCTTGTGCTGCTATCGGGGGCTTCCGCAGCTTCAGGGGAGTCCGAAGCTTTGCAAGCGCGCGAGTATTTATTACCAAAAAACAAAACAAAACAAACAAACAAAAAACCCAACCAAAAAACCCACACACACAGGCAGTGCCAGCGGTGGAACAGCGCGCCCTGTACATACACAGGCCTGCTCCCCCAGGCTTCTCAAGTCAGCTCTGAGTTCCGGAAGTGCACCCCGAATTCCTCCTCAGCTCCTGTGTTGTCTCCTTCGCGCTTCCTGAGCTCGGAATGTGGAGTTGCAGAAGAAGAAAGACCCCAGGCCCTGCCCAGTTTGTGTCTGAGCGTCTCCGCCTTGGTCCTCTGGCTGTAAGCCTTCAAGGGCATCAGCACATCAGCTCAGACCACTGGACAGAGAGGAGGGCCTAAGGGCTAGGGCCCCAGCCCAGCGGAGTCCTCCCAAACCGTCCCCCAAACAGGAAGGAGCTTGAAGAACAAAAGGGCCCCGACATAGCCGGGTTTCTCTGGCCTGCGCACAACCCTCAGTGGAAAAGAAGCAGCCAGCTGCAGCGAGCTAACCTGGGCACGGTGGAACATTACAGCCCTGCGAGCGACTGGGCTCACGCAGGTTCCTGGCTTCGGATTCCGGCTCCCTGCCTCAGACAGCGCCGGCGCCGCCAAGACGCAGCTTTCGGCACCCACTGAGGGGCTCAGGGCCATGGGTGCCACTAGAGCGCTGGCTTGCAAACGTGCCAGGGGCTTCTGCGACTCCGGGCCTCCAGCGGGGAGACTCTGCTTGCCTCCCGGCTATATTTGTGATTTACTTTCGTCTTTTGTTGCCCAGAAAAATAACTGCGGAGATACTAGGCACTGCCACGAAATGCTTCTATTAGTGTCCTCAGTTTATGCCCCGAGGTCTAAGCAAGACCCCAATATCTCAGTCCACGGATTCTCAGCTCCCAAGCAGGCTCTGTGGCTGCTGGAAGCCTGGGCCCACTCGCTGGTTTTACAGGGAACCCACCGACTTGGAGACCGGCTGGCTCGAGGAAGGGGACCTGGTGGTGAAGATTCTACAAGCCAGATGCGTAAGCAAATCAAATAGCAAACTAATAACACAAAAACCATATTTACAAGAAAGAAAAATCGACGCCGGTTATAAAAGTGCGTGGAATCTGACCTCGCCTCGGAGAAACACTACACAAAAGCTATCTTTAATAGACGCCTGTCATTTAAGAGCGGCAGGGACACTGTCTCTCTTGCACTGGCAAAAAACAGAGCTGTAATTGTAGCTGCTGCGGGCAGGATTTATTTCTCCAATTTGGCTAAATGGCCTCCTCCCTTTCCCCGAAGGTGTTATCTGTATTTTCAAAATTCAGAGCTGCCGGCAGGATGGCAGAACCGACCCCAAACTCGACACAAAAATAAGAGGGGCTGCAAAGCGGGCAAATAAAGTTGCAAATAAATTTCAAGTCACCACCTCCCCCTAATTCTCTGCATCCTCGCCGGGCGCGCGATCGGCAGCTGACGGCCTCACAATTGGTACATCCTAATGGAACTGCGAGGGAAATGCAATAATTTTGCCATAATGGGCTGTAACCTCAATTCGACCCCGGCCCTTGCAGCCCGGGGTCGGAAGCGGAGCGATGCTCCCTGTCTCCAGCGGGTGGCGCTCGAGTCCGACTGAACGGCGGTGGCGGGCGGCGGGCACGCGCCTGGGGCGCGCGCGCCACCCCTCTCGCCTCCACCCAACTCCCCCATTAGTGCACGAGTTTACCTCTAGAGGTCATCAGGCAGGATTTACGACTGGACAACAAAAGCACGTGATTCGAAGTCGTACCCCATATTTGGGTGCCTACGTAGGAGGGAACCAAGTACATGTCCCAGTCATTTCCATAATTCATCATAAATTGTGCAAGGGTGCTATAGACGCACAAACGACCGCGAGCCACAAATCAAGCACACATATCAAAAAACAAATGAGCTCTTATTTTGTAAACTCATTTTGCGGTCGCTATCCAAATGGCCCGGACTACCAGTTGCATAATTATGGAGATCATAGTTCCGTGAGCGAACAATTCAGGGACTCGGCGAGCATGCACTCCGGCAGGTACGGCTACGGCTACAATGGCATGGATCTCAGCGTCGGCCGCTCGGGATCCGGCCACTTTGGCTCCGGGGAGCGCGCCCGCAGCTACGCGGCTGGCGCCAGCGCGGCGCCCGCCGAGCCCAGGTACAGCCAGCCGGCCACGTCCACGCACTCGCCTCCGCCCGACCCGCTGCCCTGCTCCGCCGTGGCCCCCTCGCCCGGCAGCGACAGCCACCACGGCGGGAAAAACTCTCTGGGCAACTCCAGCGGCGCCTCGGCCAACGCCGGCAGCACCCACATCAACAGCAGAGAGGGGGTTGGCACGGCGTCCGGAGCCGAGGAGGACGCCCCCGCCAGCAGCGAGCAGGCGAGCGCGCAAAGCGAGCCGAGCCCGGCGCCGCCCGCTCAACCCCAGATCTACCCCTGGATGCGCAAGCTGCACATAAGTCATGGTAAAGCCAGCCTTTTTCTAAACCACGCGTCCGCGGGGGCGCGGCTCTCGGTCTCCCCTGTCTCCTTTGCCGCCCTTTCTCCCGGTCTCTCTCCTAGTCTCTTCTCCCAGCCCTGAGGATCCTCTCCCTGCCGATCTCCTTCCCTTGCCTCCATCCTTCCTCCCTTTCTCTGCAGCAACCTGCACTCGCAAATAGCGGGGCAATGGGCCGGTGGCCAGGCAAGTTTGGACTTTAAAAGGGGGAGAAAGGAGGGGAAAAAATCCGTCTGGAACCCCAGCGCCTCGGAACGCGCTCCGGGTCAGGCCAGCCGAGCAGGGCGCAGAGAGGTAGAGGATGGCAGGCAGTAGGGGCCGTGAATCGGGCTTGTCAGGGCGGATAATTTATGGGAAGGGCTACGCCGGGGAAACAGCGTTACTAATTAGAGCCCCGAAACGGGGCTTGGGGAAAATAATCCAGGCGAGGGCCAGCGGGATTGTGGAGTTTGGGGAAAAGAGGGAGAAAGAAGCAAAAAAGAAAGAAAGCAGGCGCCCCAGGCGTACAGGCTGGAACTGGAGCGCTCCTGGGGCCGGAACTTTAAGGGAGGAGAATGACCTGGAGGCCACTTTGGCACTCAGCAAAGGGCCGCGCTTCGGTGGGTTTCTGAGAGGTGGGCAGCCTGGGAGGGCTGTGCCCCCTACTTGGGGCTCCTGCGGCAGGGCCAGGGGGCACAGAGGGGCGAAGGAAAGCCCGGCGGTCCTCCGGGACGCGGTTCCAGCCTCCGATGGGCCGATTGTTCCCAGAGTCCAAACCTTATTGTTTTCTCTTTAGAAAGGAAGAGGGAAGGAAACTGGGGAGTGGCGGGTGTACAGGGAGGGAAAACTTGTTGAGCCTTTTGCCTGGTTCCGCGTTCCGGACCCTAGCTCGTCAGCTGGCGGACTTTGGAAGCCAAGAGCTGAGGAGTTGGTGGCTAAACCGCTGGCTTTTCTATTGCAGACAACATAGGCGGCCCTGAAGGCAAAAGGGCCCGGACGGCCTACACACGTTACCAGACCCTGGAGCTGGAGAAGGAGTTCCACTTCAACCGCTACCTGACCCGCAGAAGAAGGATTGAAATAGCACATGCTCTTTGCCTCTCCGAGAGACAAATTAAAATCTGGTTCCAAAACCGGAGAATGAAGTGGAAAAAAGATAATAAGCTGAAAAGCATGAGCATGGCCGCTGCAGGAGGGGCCTTCCGCCCCTGAGCATTTGAGTGTTTAAAGTACTGAGCAGTATTAGCGGATCCCGCTTAGTGTCAGTACTAAGGTGACTTTCTGAAACTCCCTTGTGTTCCTTCTGTGAAGAAGCCCTGTTCTCCTTGCCCTAATTCATCTTTTAATCATGAGCCTGTTTATTGCCATTATAGCGCCTGTATACGTAGATCTGCTTTCTGTTCATCTCTTTGTCCTGAATGGCTTTGTCTTGAAAAAAAAAATAGATGTTTTAACTTATTTATATGAAGCAAGCTGTGTTACTTGAAGTAACTATAACAAAAAAGAAAAGAAAAAAAACACACAGAAAAGTCCCCCTTCAACCTCGTTTAGTGCCAATGTTGTGTGTTGCACTTGAGTTGTTTAACTGTGCATGTGCGTGGAAGTGTTCCTGTCTCAATAGCTCCAAGCTGTTAAAGATATTTTTATTCAAACTACCTATATTCCTTGTGTAATTAATGCTGTTGTAGAGGTGACTTAATGAGACACAACTTAACTTGTTCAACGTGTAGTGACTAGTGACTCTGTGACGGAAACTGTGACTCCAAGCGGTGTGTCCCTGCGTGCCTTTGTAGGACCCTTTGCACGAACTCTGGAAGTGGCTCTTATAAGCGCAGCTTCAGTGATGTATGTTTTTGTGAACAAAGTTACAAATATTGTCCAAGTCTGGCTGTTTAAGCAAACTGTGATCAGCTTTTTTTTTTGGGGGGGGTATTTGTTTTTAAGGAAAAATACTGACTGGAAACAAAAAATAAACTTTCTATTGTAAGTTCTCTTGGTCTGGTTTGTGCCAAATAGCAAGCGGCTCCTTTTGCTTTTCTGTCTGTCTGTCTGTCTGTCTGTCTGTCTGCCCAGTTTTAGAAACTGGTAAGCCTGTGACTCACCTGAGCAGCCTGCGTGTGCATGGAGGCCTCAGTCCACCATCCTAACCATCTGCCTCCCTAAGTCTGACCTAACAAAGTTTAGGGCACAAAGTAGGAAAAGCTACAGGCAGTTCCAAAACCCATCCACCTTGCCCATCTCTCAGGAAACCAAACTAACTTGCTGGGTACAAAAAAAGAATGTGGAATAGAGAGAAAGCAGAAGAGGCCCAGGGCTTTGTTCCCACCTTCCGGGACCCACAGATGCTGTCTTTTTCCTCAGGCTGTCCTAGGCCTCCACTTGCTGTAGAGGGTTCTGTGCCAGGCTGTGGGCACCAAACTCTTGCCCCTAACCAACCCCAGTGCCCCTTCCCAATTCCTCACCCTGAACCCAGTTGGCTCCTTTTGCTACAATTAATTTGCTACAAATGGAAGGTACTTACCCCATCCTAGCTTGATTGGGGAAACTCCTCAGAGCAGCTAAGCGCAACTAGAGATTTGCACATTTACCGACCGCTTACACTGATGCCGTCTTTCCTTTTAAAAGTTATAAAACAGTAAACTTTATAAGCCCCAGTTCCGGCTATATGACATTTGGGTGCCAAATGAATAGGGTTTTGTCTATGAATTAGATCGTAAAATCATCCATAGCACAGACAGATTGGCTCACTGGCTATAAAACGTCACGTGGGGCCATTAAAGTAAGTTTTATGGTTTTGGGGAGTTGACATCCAACATTATATACCACATAACATATAATCTCACTGACGCTGGACTCCATTTGACTCTTTTGCAGGCTACGTGTGCTGCCTGGTCATTCAAATTGTCAATTTTAGGTGCAGAAGTGTCCAAACCACAAGTTCGCAAAAACTCTCTGAAAAATGGCTCCCTCCGAGTTAAGGTAAGCTCGCCTTTTGAGCGCTTTCAAGTTTATTCGTACTCTGAAAACTTTATCATATTCTCTCTCTCTCTCTCTCTCTCTCTCTCTCTCTCTCTCTCTCTCTCTCTCTCTCAATAATTCAGAGACTATATCAGAACTCAAAATGGGAGGGCAGGCTGTCCTCTGCTCAGTTTCCAGCGCCAAGAGCTACTTTTGCGAATCTAGCACGATGAACAGGCCGCGTCGTCTCCCCAGGCCTAACTTTAATTGCTACACAGCCGCTGATGTTAATGACTTCCGCTGCTCCTGCCGGCGTGCAAAAAAGATGATTTTGTGTGCGAATGGGCCTGTGTGTGGAGGCTTGGCAGGAGCCCCCCTCGTTCTGGGCCTGGCTGGGACCCCGCTCTTTGGGGGTCGCGGAGCCCCAGTGTGGGGGCTGGGAGACAGTGGGGCGCCGGCTGAGGGCGCCGGGGCTGCTCTCCGGAGTTTGAAAGAAAGGCCCGGGCAGGGCCGAGGCGGACTCTGGCGGGATTCTTTACGGGGCTGTGGCAATATGTCTTCGCTAGCCAGGGTCATTTGGCAGGACTGAATTGAAGCGGCCTTCGGGGCTGGGTTTCAGGATGGTTCGCGAAAGCAGGAGGGTGGCAGAGGATGACAAGGCGCGGGCTGCACCTTCAGGCTGGGTCTCTGGGTTTCGAGGCCAATTCCAGGCTGCCAGTCCCCAGAGCACCCTGGGGACCGCAGGTCCCTGTCTGAGGAGGGCAGCACACCCTCCCTGGCACCCAGGACCAGGCCCTGAACCTTGTTTGTCTGCCTGCACGTTCTTTTTATTTCGATGGGACTGTTCTCACCCGCCTGTGAGTCTGGAGCAATAAACTTTATGGCCGGATTTAACTTTAATCTTTGAATCCCCAGGCTAATTGAAAGGGGTTAAAGCGCTTTCTTTTCTTCCGCCCTGCCTTTCTTTTCTCTCTTCTCTTCCTCTTCCTCTCCTTCTTTTGTAGAAGTAAAACATCTATGCATAGGATCCTCCTAAGGCAGCTTAGGCACCCCCCTAGATAGCACTAAAGATAGAGAAATTTACTGTCTCTCAACATACAAATTCTGTCTTCCAAACTGTGCCCTAAAGTTTGGGGGGAAATAGAGGTGTCTTCAATGACCAACTTAAAAGTCCCCAGAGGCATTAAGTTGTTTTTCCTGACACATCATAAAGCATAGTTTAGGAAAGAAATTGGTCGTTTGTCAGTAGGAGATTTCCGCCTCTCTTTTGTTAGTTGTTCTTTCTGTTTGATCTCAGGAAATTTACATAATCTATGATTTCCAAAACAATCTCTAAAATTGTCCCAATGAGGGAAGTAAGGTGAAATAAATTTTTCCTGGGTACAAGTCTACCTTGGCCCCAGCTACTCATGTGCACCCCCACTCTCCAATGGCAAACCACACCAGTGAGTGGGGTCTTTTGAGGGAGTATCCACAAGGCACCTAGCAGGTTTCCCCTAACCCTGTTTGAGAAATGAAGGCAAATCTCAAACTGTATTGAGGAGCAACAAACAATGTGGTCTGTCTCCACATCCTCCTTGGGAGCTAGGTAATTTTCTGTAGGTATTCCTTAGTGTAGATATCTAGTGCTTAAAGAAAAATATATTAAAGTATAGATTTGGAATTTCTATAGACTTTATTTTGCAAAGGTCATCTACCCGCAGAATAAGTCCAGCATATGGCCTTGAAGTCAGAAATTCAAAAATCAAAACTTGGAGAGTTTTGTTTTGAAAAATTAAAACCTTCCCTTAAGTCCTGCTTTTCAGGAGTAGTGTGGCAAGAGGAAGAATCCTTGAAGTCACTTTGTGTACTCTATCCCAGTGAATTTTGGTATTGCTGCACTCAGGAAGAGGCGCCCGCATCTTAGTGGGGACCAGAATAGCATGTCTGCATGTGTGGGTTCCGTCTTATGTGTCTACGAGGATTCTGGATTCCTTCTTTTGCTGCTCCCAGTTTGGGGACCTTTGTTAGAAAACAGGATTTTTGGCTCCACTTCAGGGACTCATTTGGTGATCTTGCTTAGGTGTTTTCTTGGTGATTGAGATTAGAAGCAGAAGAAAAGTATCTAGAGATGCTGGAAGGTTCCTCTGAATACCTTGAGTGAAGAAAAGATCCACACCACTTCAGTGGCTGAGTTATTGGAATCATATCCAACATCATAAAACATAGATAATCTCTCCTGCAAATGTAAAAAAAAATACAGGCTATAAATATTGTCACTTACTTATTTCTGTCTGTGTTAATCTTCACAAAACTTGAGAATTTAAGGGGGCAGGTCAACCCATGTGGAGTTAAATGACTTTTAAGAACTACAGCATCTAGTCAGTCCTATGTGAATGTTATTGGAGGAATTTTTTTCTTTTTCCTATTTTCATAGGAAGCATACTAAAGACGTTGGCTGTTCTCCGCTCATTTAGTAGATCAGTTACTTCTTCTTGTGCATCCTTTTGAATTGTTTCTGGAGAGGAACTAACTTTTAACAAAATCACTGTCACTAAGAGCTTATGAGGACATCCAGCCTCAGCCCTCAGCCTGTGGCCAAAGTGTGAATCTGTGCTTCTCATCTTATACAAGGAGAAGGCAGCGGAAATGCGCAGAGGCTCGTTTGTTTCCACAAGCCTAAGAGACAATATTTCCTGAACTGTAAATATAATAGGAAGCTTCTGGTCACACACACTTAGGGGTTTGTCAGGATCTCTATAGTCTAATTTCACAATATTATGCCAAGATTCTCTTTCTCTCATGGACTTTGCTCTGCTGCATTGTTGGCAGCTCTGGGAGAGCAACACAGAATTTACTCCTAGAAACAGTCATGTTTATTTGTTGAGATCTAGAGATCCAAATAACCACATGCTATAAGATGGCCTATTGGAGAGGAAAACAGTCCTTTAAGCTTGAAAGAGTCACTTAGTGTCTTCTGCCTTGGCTGGGCATCTGCCCAGGGCTTGCCTACCTTGGAGAGGGCAGAGTATGGTGGGCTCCATCCCTGTGGTTTCTAAGAGGAGGATTCCCTTTTAGCTAATGACAAAACTATGAGTGGGACTCCCAGGCAAGGTTGAGGGGGTCAGCTGAGATTCCCAAAGTGTATGGGAGAGGATCCACAGTCCCAACCCTTCTAACCGCCAGCACTTGGAGGATGAGTTAGGGGTTGTTCTGTTTGGTGTTTTTCACCAAGAGATTTGTCCTTCTCCCACCAGATCCCTTCTCCACAAACCAGTCTTTTCAATAATAATATTTGTTATGAAGGTTATTAGGTAATTATTGCGATTTTGTGAAGCAGCCCTTGCTGGAGGTGAAGTCTGTCATCGCCTAACAAATGACGCCCATGCAGTTCACTGCCGGGTTAAGTAAATGCAGAGAAGATAAATCTGCACACCCTAGGAATCGCCAGCAGAGCACGCTTTAGTACAAGTTCACAGTCAACTTGCCTGCCTGGGCTGCTCTCTCAACAATTACAGCACCGTCTTTATTTTTAAATAAAGAAAAAAGTCTTCACCTCTCATTGCT